GCGCGCTCCCTGAGACCGTCACCCCCAAGGCTCCGTGGAAGTCAAAGCCAGATGTCAAGGACTTGGCGTAGTTTTAGACCAAAATAAAATCCAACATTGCTCAGTGTCACAAGATCACCCTGAAGCAAACAAGATCACCCAGAAAGGGGACACAGACGTTACTGAACACATTTGTGGGAGGCTGTAGGTTCCCACAACATGGGTGCCCCATGGAGACAACCGGGCACCGCACGGGACACAATGGCCCATGAGGGCACCCCACCGTGATGCCAGCAGACTCGCGGGGACCCCTGATCACAGTGTGGACACAGATGGGAGCCCTGGAGAGTACAGCGTGCCCTGCCCAGGCGGCACAGGGAATGGAGGAGCCTTTGTTTCCACAACAGAGGGACACACCCGGTTCAGTAAAGCACGTCCTTCCTGTGATCCGTCAGCAAGCACGTTTTCGCTCCAAGAACCGGGCAAACACGAAGCCTAAGACACTAAGCGCTGGGGTGTCTGAGGACAGCCCCCAGCCTGCTCTCTGTGCTCCCGCCCCCGGCACTCAGTGCAGGCTCCTGAACCCCCCTCCAGCCCCCCACCCCCACAGCCCTCAGTGCAGGCTCCTGAACCCCCTCTCCAGGCCCCTGCCCACCCAGTCTCCCCCAGCCCTCAGTGCAGGCTCCTGAACCCTCTCTCCAGCCCCCAGCCCCCCAGCCCTCAGTGCAGGCTCCTGAACCCCCTCTCCAGCCCCCCACCCCCACCAGTCTCCCCCAGCCCTTAGCGCAGGCTCCTGAACCCCCTCTCCAGCCCCCCACCCCCACCAGTCTCCCCCAGCCCTCAGTGCAGGCTCCTGACCCCTTCTCCAGCCCCTACCCCCACCAGTCTCCCCCAGCCCTCAGTGCAGGCTCCTGAAACCCCTCTCCAGCCCCCCCACCCCCACCAGTCTCCCCCAGCCCTCAGTGCAGGCTCCTGAACCCCTCTCCAGCACCCCGCCCCCACCAGTCTCCCCCAGCCCTCAGTGCAGGCTCCTGAACCCCCTCTCCAGCCCCCCACCCCCACCAGTCTCCCCCAGCCCTCAGTGCAGGCTCCTGAACCCCTCTCCAGCACCCCGCCCCCACCAGTCTCCCCCAGCCCTCAGTGCAGGCTCCTGAACCCCCTCTCCAGCCCCCACCCCCACCAGTCTCCCCCAGCCCTCAGTGCAGGCTCCTGACCCCTTCTCCAGCCCCCACCCCCACCAGTCTCCCCCAGCCCTCAGTGCAGGCTCCTGAACCCCCTCTCCAGCCCCCCACCCCCACCAGTCTCCCCCAGCCCTCAGTGCAGGCTCCTGACCCCTTCTCCAGCCCCCACCCCCACCAGTCTCCCCCAGCCCTCAGTGCAGGCTCCTGAAACCCCTCTCCAGCCCCCCACCCCCACCAGTCTCCCCCAGCCCTCAGTGCAGGCTCCTGAACCCCTCTCCAGCACCCCGCCCCCACCAGTCTCCCCCAGCCCTCAGTGCAGGCTCCTGACCCCTTCTCCAGCCCCCACCCCCACCAGTCTCCCCCAGCCCTCAGTGCAGGCTCCTGAACCCCCTCTCCAGCCCCCCCACCCCCACCAGTCTCCCCCAGCCCTCAGTGCAGGCTCCTGACCCCCTTCTCCAGCCCCCACCCCCACCAGTCTCCCCCAGCCCTCAGTGCAGGCTCCTGAACCCCCTCTCCAGCCCCCCACCCACCCGGTCTCCCCCAGCCCTCAGTGCAGGCTCCTGACCCCCCTCTCCAGCCCCCTGCCCCCACCAGTCCCCCCAGCTGCCCTCCGGGACTCCACTGGGATGTCCTCGCGTCCGCAGAGCTGCTGCACCTGCCATCCCCCCAGCTGTCCCTCTAGGTGCTCAGGCCCAAACCTCGGCGCCACCTGCGGAAGACAGGACACCTGTTCAGAGTACTGGCCACCCTCCCGGGAGTCTGCGTCCTTCCCGTGGAATGCAGACACGACGGATGACGCTCGGGGCGAGTCAGCAGAAGGGAAGTGTGTCATTCTGAGTAGACAGTTCAAGGAACACCGGACCACGCACCCATCCCCACTGCCCCAGTGACTGACAACGGTCGTGTGGAGGCCACTCCATCGGCCTGGGCCGTGGAGGGAAGACACGTGGAACGGAGCCGTGGCCCACACACGGGTGCCGTGTGCGGGAAAGAGCCACCGCCGTGCGGAAGTGATGCTTAATGCAGCAGACTCTGCTCACTTATTTGTCTCATCTCCCAGTTGCCTTCCTCATCCCGAGGGGAACTTTGTCTGTGTGTCCAGTGCTGTGTCCCCGGCATCCAGATCAGTGTCCGGCACCTAGAGGTTCCCGTTAGTACCGAGTGAGTGAATGAAACGCATGGCATGGGCACCAGTGGTCCTGGGAACATAGAGGGTCGGCCGTCGAGGCAGATCTGACTTGGGCAGAACAGAGGATGGGGTGGGGGACATCTGTCCAAACAGGGAAAACAGCCGGGCACGCGTGGAATGTGAAGGACGCTCACAGCGGGGGAGGAGTTCTCTTTGCGGGGCTGTGCTCAGAGTGAGCCTGAGAGGGGCAGGGCGTGGGCAGCTGCGGGGGGCGTGGGCAGCCGCGGGGGGCGTGGGCAGCTGCAGAGGGCGAGAGGTGTTGGTCCAGGAGCTGGGCCTTCACCCTTCGACCACTGGAGCCCCGCGGAAGACAGTTTAACAAAAGGAAGATTAGAAAGAAAGGTCATGTAGGGAGACAGGATAAAGGGATGAAAGAGCAGAAAAGAGGGAGGACACGCCGGACCATCAGCGATGTGCTGGGCAGCTGAGGGCCTGGGCCACACGAGGAGCGAGTCTGGACAAGGAGCGGCACCTGCGGGGACATGCCCCGTCCCAGGGGGGCGCCTGCGGGGACAAGCCCCGTCCACGGGGGGCCCGAGGGCTCGCAGAGGGAGCTCACAACTCCAGACGGGTGGTGAGAGGAGGGCCCGGACCCCAGGCTGTGGGTGGCTGACCCGAGCAGGCACTGACCAGTCAGAAGGAGGCTCTGAAATCGACCGTCCCGAGGTCAAATGTGCTAGACCATCGCTTTTGTAAAGAAAGGCCTTTGCTATTTTTAAGAGCCCTGGTGCAGTGATCAGGATTAACGCGGTCTCATCCTGCCATCTAGTGTCGGGGGGTGTGACCCGTCCTCTGGGCGAACTCCAGCACTTCCCAAGCGCGCTGGGCAGGCGCTGGGCGGGCGCTGGGGTCGGAAGCCTGGCCCAGCCCCAACGCCAGTCTCTCCAGGTGAGGCCGCTGCCTGGCCACCCTGCAGACAGCAGGTACCTGGGCTCCGGCAGCCTCACCTGCGGATGGGCGTGGCTGGATGGGCGTGGCCACGGCACCGGGTGCAGGGGAACGGGGAGGGAAATGACCTCTTCCTCCTTCCCATAGAAACACTTTTAGTGTCATCACTCCCACTTCTAGACGGAAACGAACGGGAATCACACGCGACGTGACGTGACTGGAATAACAGGTTCCAGCGCTCGGGCCAGGAATGCGTTCATGTGGCCACTACATTTCAGATCAATGCAGTTTCCTGTTCAGGAACGAAGAACTGCTCATCAACAAAGTAAAATACAAATAAAAATTTTTAAAAGCAGAGCCCTGCCCTGGCAGAGTGGGCTCAGCGGGTAGAGCATGGCCCTTGGGACCGACGGGCCGGGATTTGATTCCGGTCAAGGGCACGTGCCCGGGCTTCAGGTTTGATCCCCGTCCCAGTCAGGGTCGTGCAGGAGGCAGCCCATCCATGTGTCCCTCTCATAGCTGTTTCTCTCTCTCCCCCCCCCCTCCAGTCTCTCTAAAAACAAAAATTCAATGGAAAAATACCCTCCAGTGAGGAGGAACAAAAAATAAATTAAAAAGTCAAGAGCTGCCCACCAGGTCTCAGGGCGCCACCGTTCGGGAAGAGTCGGCGCCTTCGCACGAAATCACCCACCCGTGTGGGCACCGCCACGGCGCCAGCGTGAGAAAGGCCGGAAGGACGCGGGCGCCGTTCTCCCTGACCGCGCGGTGCCAGCGTCCTGGCCGGGACATGCAGTGCAGCTCCCGGAGTGCTGCCACGGGGGAGGGGGCTGGGGCCCTCCCTGCGCCATTTCCCACGGCCAGATGTGCGCCTACAACGATCAAGCAATTACAAGTTCCGTTTCAGACCATATTTGGACCCGTGTTGGGTATTCCTGAAACACAGAGTCGTTTTGCAACGAAGCTGCCGAAGGAGAGAAATAGGAGCTGGGCTGAGAGCTAAGAGAAATGACTTCTCAGTCGCCCCTGATGCATCCGCTTATTTGTCCACACAACAAGAGTTTGGGGCCCGCGGTGTACCCCGCTGTCCAGGCCCTGGGGCGAGAGTGCTGAGCAAGCAGGAATCTCACCTGCCTGTCGCTGCGTTTAGATCCTGGGGGGGGGGGGGCGGGGGGTGACAGCACATGAACAAGGTGAGATCACTCCGGCAGCGCTCAGGGTTACGACACATGTGCAACGAGGTCCCCGGGGGGACGGCTGCTTGCAAAGGCATTTGGAGGAGGGGATACTGATCCGATAGGAACCAGCCGTACAAAACCAGAAGGAAGGACAAGGCAGGAAGGCGCTGACGTGGGACCAGGGGGCCTGGCTGGGACAGAGAGGCAGCAGGTAGGCTGTGCGACATGAGGTCCGAGGTGGACAGGCTGTCCCGGGACCTCAGCCCTTGGCTGGGAACAGCCTGATGGGAAGGAACCTCATGGAACTTCATCAGCTGTCCTCTGCCTCTGCCTCTACACTTCGGGTGTTTTTAAACAGACGGTCAGGATGTTTCAGAAGCCTGGGGAGCCCCCAGAGGTCAGGGGGGTTAATTTCAGAGTTACTACCTAAGGCCATTTCCCAAAAAGCGTAATTCATAGGCAGCTGAATTACAGATGATGCTGACTCGCCCTTTTCTTTCATTTCAAACGGGGTCTTTCAGAGGCAACAGAAACCACCCAGCTCATCGGCAAAGCGAAGGAGGCGCTGAGCGGCCCCGCGGCACCTACGTGTAAACGGTCCCGTAGGTGTGTGTTCTGGGGTCTTCCTCTTCGATGGAGAACTGGGCCCACTGCTCCTGGGGTCCTCGCCGCGTCACCTCTTTTCCCGGGTCCCAGTGCAGCTCGATGCTGTGATGAGTCACCTTGCCCACCACGGGGGGCTGGGGCTTCGCGGTCTCTACAAAGGAAGGACACGGATTCCAGGACTCGGTTTCCTGAGGAAGAGACACCGCCGGCCGAGGGCGGCCCAGCTGCTTGGGGACAAACTGTTTCCCTGCACGTCAGGCCAGCGTGGGGCACCCCCACCCCACCCCCGTGACCTGCAGGACATCGGAGAAGCTTCAGTGACAGGACACGCAGAGGCTGCGGCCGTATTCGGAAATCAAATTCAATCTGCTTCCCCCGCCTCCCTCCAGGCCACGCTGACAGCGTCACCTCACACCTCCCTTTGCCTGACAGCTTTTTCTTCATTGACTTTTTTTTTTTTTTTTGAGAGAGAGAGAGAGAGAGGAAGAGGAAGAGATAGAAACATCGATGAGAGAGAACATTGATTGGCCACCTCCTGCATGTCCCCCACTGGGGATCGGGCCCACAACCTGGGTATGTGTCCTGACCGAGAATCGAACCAGTCACCTCTTGGTGCAGGGGTCGATGGTCAACCACGGAGCCACACCGGCTGGGGCTGATCAGCCTTTGAACAGCTACCACTGACTTCTCATCCACTGTGGGAAAGGGAACTAGAGAGCCGTGCTTATTGTTTTTAATTACGTATTAAATAATAGCCATGCAAGGCTCGGCGTGGGTGCTGAGAAGCACAGCGTGGGAGTCTAGCTCAGGCCACCTGACTGCGCCAAGCTCTTGAAGGTCTTTGGCTTTCGCGCGCGGGCCTGAGACCACACGCCGGTCAGCTTGCCGCGGAAGGTCCACCCCCAGGCTTGAAGTCTCCCATCATCTCTTAGGCTTCTGACACCCACTGTCTGCTGAGGTGTTCGCTAACATCTCAACAGGTGTTTGAGAAATGCTACATTGGGAGACGCCGTTCCAGACGGCTTTCCTCACCGTGGCCTCTGCCTTTCTCCTTGGCCTCATGCACAGTCAGCCAGTCTGTCTGTCTGTCTGTCTGTCTGTCTCTCCTTGGCCACCCCAACAGTTCTGGGTTATTGTCTCCAGCCTGGTGAGACCTGTGACACCTCTGCTTAGCTTTGTGCTGTTGACCATCTGCGCCTCATGCCCCAGTAACCTCAAACTTACTAGGTTAAAGATGGACCTTACTTTCCCTCCAAGTCAACCCCCTGCTGGCAGATCATCCTTCCCCCACCCCAGCCCACTCAGACCTCGGCTCCTGTTCTCTCTCCCGAGTTCCTTCCTCCTCTCCCACATCCATGGCCACGGCCTTGCTGAGTCTTGACGCCTTCCTGTAGGCAGATGGCTATGCAGCTTGAGCAAAGGACAAAATCTGCTCTGTGAGCCACCGTCACATGCACTGTGACCCGACACCGGCACGTCGGATGGGGAATGTTCCCAAGCTCGCTCTCCTCCACCCCCGCTCCGGCTGCGTGTCTTGCCTGTTGCTACAGTCCTGCCCCTGGAAACCCACCCTCTGAGCAGCATACGAGGTACAGCTCACCCGCACCTCCATCCGAATCCCCCGCAAGCACCCCGACACCACCCCGCACTCCGCATCTGTCAGGGAAGACAGACAGACACAGCGGGTATTTCATCTCTAACCAGAGAATCCTTAAGTTCACTGAAGTGTCCAGGAAAATTAGAAAACATTTTCGGCTGAAAGAAAATAACATCAACATGTCAAATCCTGCGCTTAGAGGGGAATTCACAGCACCGCATAATTACATCGGAGAAGAAGAGATCACGTCAATAATCAAAGCATCTGCTTGAAGTAGGGAAAGAAGAGCAGAATAAACCCCAACTTCAGCACCAGGAATGCTAACTACAAGAGACTAAACCAATAAGATTTAAAACAGAAAAACCGCCCTGGCCGGTTTGGCTCAGCAGTTAGAATGTTGGCCCACGGACCAGAGAGTCCGGGTTCGGTTTCTACTAAGGACACGTGCCTCGGTTGCAGTTTGTCCCCGGCCGTGGTTGGGGTCGTGTGGGTGGCGACCAGTCGACATCTCTCTCTCACATCGATGTTTCCCTCTCTCTCTTCCTCCCTCTCTCCCTCCTGCTCTGCAAGATAAATGCAAAAATGTCCTCGGGTGAGGATAAAAATAAAAATAAATAAATAAAACAGAAAAATTAATGAAACTCAAAGCTGGTTCTTTGGGGGGGGAGGGTAAATCTATAAAATGAATAAAGCTCCCGACTGACTGACCAAGAGAAAAGGCAGAAACCCAAGTTCAGGACCAGGAACGAAGACGGACCTCAGTACAGAGGAACCTCAGTACAGACCTCACAGACGCTGGAGACCTAGTGAGGGTTTCCACACAAACCCGACTGATCGAGGATGCCTATGGGAAACCACAGTATCACGCCAGAATATGCCTCTTTGACGTAAAAATCGTTTCGAGCTGAAGGTAGTTCGGTAGCAGCGAACACAGGAAGGGCTCCCTGCCTCCCCCCTTTTCTGCCTAAAGGCAGGACATAAATTCTTCCTTTACTGGAAACAGGCTCCTGTGGACCCAGAGATGGTCCCAGAGGAATCCGTAAACAAACTTATCTCACTGGCTTCCTCCTGTCGTTTTTCCTGTCCCTAGTTTGCTGCCCTTGGAAGCTGAAAACTCCCTTCCTTTCTCTGTCATTTCTCCACAAGCTCTGGACATTTAGAGACACCACATAAGCTATTCCAAGCGCCACTTGGAATTACTTTTTTTAATTTTTTTTATTTTAGAGAGAGGAAGGGAGAGGGAGAGAGAGACAGAAACATCGATGAGAGAGAACATCGATTGGCCACCTCCTGCACGCCCCCCACAGGGGATCGATCGGGCTCACAACCTGGGCATGTGCCCTGACCAGGAATCGAACCAGCGACCTCTTGGTGCAGGGTCGACGCTCAGCCCCTGAGCCACACCGGCCGGGCTGGAATTACTTTTCGTTGAGGTTTCTGTTCCAGGGTGACAACAGGGTTCATCATCTGGTTTTCTCTTGTTAATCTGACCCAAAGATGTGTCAGAAAAAGTGTGGCCTCTCCCACGCCGCCAAACTCAAGAAGAAGCAGAGACCTTGAATACCCCGTGTCGAAGAGCCGGCCCCGTGCAGCCGCTTTGGAGACAACCCGGCAGTTTCTTACGGAAAGCGAAACACAGACTGACCGTGTGGCCCGCAGTCCTGCTGCTCAGTATCCTCCTGGCGAGCGAAAGCCTGTGGTCACACACTGGTCTGCAAGTGAGTGTGAGATTCACGTGCTGGTTTGGCTCAGCGGTCAGAGCGTGGCCTTCGGACTGAAGGATCTCGGGTTCAATTCCCAGTCAAGTACCTGGGTTGCAGGTTCAATCCCCAAACCCAGTCAGGGGAGGCAACAAATTGATGTGTCTCTCTCACATAACTGTTTCTCTCTCTCTTCCCCCTCCCGTCCTTCAGGACGATGTGTTCCGTTTATCCCAGCAATGCCTGATTGATTGTAATGTAAAAAAAAATTAAGATCATCAATATGTTAGCAGATTAAAGGAGAAAGAAACAAATGATCAACTCAGATGCATAAAAGGTACTTGATAAAATTCAAAACCCATCCCTTGATTTAAAAAAAAAAAACAACAACAACTAAATAAATTACAAACAGAAGGGAACTTCCTTATTCTGAAAAAGGACATGTACCGCAAACGGAAGATGCCATTCTTGGTACGAAATACTGAAGCTGGAAAGGAGAAAAAGATGCACCGTCGGCACTTCTGGTCCACACTTGACCGTAGGTCCCAGTGAGTGCAATAAGAAAAATAAATGACAGTAAAAGAACCGACAGTGAAGGAAAACACTCATCTAAAAATGATCGGATTGCGTCCATTCAGATTCCAAAACACAGTCAATAAACATAGCGTGTTCGCTGTCCATCCACCAATTAGAAATGAAATTTTAACAAATGATATCATTTACAACAACATCAAAAATGCAATGACCCTAATAATAAATCTACAAAATGTGTAAGACCTTCGTGGAGAAAAATTAGAACATTTTACGTAGAATGGATCAATGATTCATGGGCCAAGGTCGACACTGTGACGTTCTCCCCAAAGCATCGACTTAATCCCAATGGAGATCCCAACAATCTTTGTGAAACTTGGTAAGTCAATTCTAAAATGTATATGTAAGTGCCAATATAAATAAACAAGTAAATTATATATATGTCGATGCCAGAGGTCAAGAGCAGCCAGGATCAAGGGGGAGGGTGCAGGGAGGCTGACAGAGACGTCTTCTGATTGATGGATGACGTGCGCAGCCCCATTAAGCTGAAATCTCTGTAGCACACGAGAGTAACAGTAGTCATGTGTAAACAATCTCGCATTTATTTTAAAAGAAACACGGAAGCCCTGGCTGGTTTGGCTCAGCGGTTAGAGCGGCGGCCTGCGGTCCTGAGAGACCCGGGTTCGGTTCTCCTAAGGGCGCGTACCTCGGTTGTAGTTTGTCCCCGGCCCTGGTTGGGTCGTGAGGGTGGCAACCACTCGATGTATCCCTTTCACATCGATGTTTCTCTCTCTCTCTCCCTCCCACTATATCTGAACAAAAAAAATGGAAAAATGTCCTCCGGTAAGGATAGGGAAAAAAAAACAAAAAACAAACACAGGCTTGCCCTGGTCAGTGAGCTCAGCAGTTGGAGCATCAGCCCGCCGACCAGAGACGCAGTTCCGTTCCAGTCAAGGGCACGAACCTCGGTTGTGGTTCAGTCGCCGGCCCTGGTCGGGGTCATACGGGAGGCCACCATCCATGTGTCTCTCTCATTCGCTCACTCTCTCTCTCTCCCTCCTTCCCTCTTTATTTGAATCTAATTGGAAAAATATCCTCAGGTAAGGATTTAAAATAAATAAATAATTTTTAAAACACAGGTTTTTAAAAAATATTTATAAATAAATTTTTAAATGCATATAAACCCATATTAAGTTCCTTATTTAAAAAAGAAGAAGAAGAAGCCCTGCCCGGGCCAGTTTGGCTCAGCATTTAGAGCGTCGGCCTGCAGACCAGAGAGTCCTGGGTTCGGTTCCCTCTAAGGGCACGTACCTCGGTTGCATTTTGTTCCCCCGCCCAAACTGGGGTCGTGTGAGTGGCAACCAGTCAATGTGTCTCTCTCACGTCGATGTTTCTCCCTCCCTCCCGCTCTATCTGAAGATAAATGCAAAAACATCCTCGGGTGAGGGTAAAACAGAAGAAGCCCGAACTGAAAAGCCCCCTGGGACTGGGGCGCACGGGTCTCCCCCGTGTTCCCAGGGCTCCCCTGCACCAACGCGGCCCGGCGGCTGAGCCCCAACCCTGACGCCGTCTCTATTTACGATCGTTGTTTTAACAGCGTTGGTCCACCTTCCCCGTAAGTCACCCAGAGAAATGAAATGTTCACGTGGCCTTCTGCCAAAATCAGTCCTTCCCGAGGGCTTGCTCTTACTACTAGGACGGTCCTAGCAGACAGCACGATGTTTTATTAGAAATGCTTTTATTTATTTTTTTATCTTTTACCAAGTAAAACATTATCATAAAAAAAAAAAAAAAAAAAAACTTCCCTAAACATCCTACTTAATAAAGCGAGTAAATGGTGCGGGGCAGGCAGACTCAGACCCGTTTGAGCACCTGTGAAGACGGTTGTAGGGGACCGTGTAGGTGTCCAAAGTCTCTCTCACTTCAAAACTGAGCCAGTGCACCATCCCTGTTCTGAAGCCTCAAAGGCCAGCGATGCCAAGGTTCAGTCTATATCATAAATCAGGAAAAGCAGCCCGGCCGGCGTGGCTCAGTGGTTGAGCATTGACCCAAGAGGTCACCGGTTTGACGTTCTCTCTCATTGACGTTTCTGTCTCTTCCTCATTGATGTTTCTGTCTCTCTCTCATCGATGTTTCTATCTCTCATCGATGTTTCTATCTCTCCCTCCTTCTCCCTTTCTCTCTAAAATCAATAAAGAAAAAATAATTTTCTAATAAAATGAAATAGATAAATCCGGAAAAGTACAAAGCAGAATAGACAGGCCAACGGACTGCGGAGCTGTTTAATGCAGTGTTTAACGCACGCTGCCTCATGTTTCACCACCACAGTCTGACACTGCATTTTACAGCTGACGGTGCCCCCCAGCAAGGGGACGAAACAGACATCGTGCGTTAAAAATGAAACTTTTAAAAGTGCAGACACAGGGAGCGCGAGGGCAGCAGTCACCTCCTGAGCCCTCGTTCCTCCCCCGCGGTGTCGTTCGAGCAGGAAGGGACCGCTGATGGAGTCTGTACCCCCCTCATCTCACAAAGTCAGGTGATGTCTCTAAAACGTTTCGAAGTGTAGGCAGAAACAGAGGGAAGGGCATCCGCGTGTGTGTGACGAAGCCAGGCGCCCGGAACAAACGAGAGGATCCCTACAGTCACAGAAGGGAGGTCACCTAGAGCTGGTTAACAAGATCAGAAAGAAGCAGCCAGAAAATAAGCAAGGTGAGTGGGAAATCTCACGTGGAGGCTTATGGCCAACCTCAGAGCATTTTCACCACACACAGGGGACGGATCCGC